TTTTTGATAACATTTTCCTTTTTTAAGACTTGTTTTTATGAACGCATTCACACAATAAATACACTATTGTTTTAAATCATAATTCTTGACATGACTTTCTTATAACATTGTTTGCAATAAATTATACATGTTTTCAATCGGATTATCATTGATTTCGTTTTGTAAATTATTTTTTATATTAATATATTAAGGTTATAAAAAATATGTAATGTGTCTGAAAATTATTGTTATTACTGAATTTGGTGAATATAATTACATTGTTTATATGTTTTAATCAAATAATCGTTTTTGATTGTAAATTACAATTTGTAAATATAATTTAATTTTATAAAATATTTATAGTTTTTCTAAAAACATAACTAAACTATACATTTGAATATTTGAAGCAATCTAATAGTTTACAAATTGCAATCTTTCATTTTGATTTTAAAATCTTGATTTAAAAATGTGTTATATAAATTATTTGCCATGAAATAATTTATTGTAAAACTACTATTGAATATTTTATAAGGAAAATTATAACTTAGATTACATTGCAAAATATTATTTATTTAATTATTTCCATAAACCTATTTATCATTTTGTACGGTGGTATCATTGTTAATTATTCTACATTATGTTAATTGCTAAAAATAATAGTCAGAAGTTGTAAATCTAATACAAAATATGACCATATTTTACACTATTCTAACAAGTAAGTATTTTTATATGCTTGTTATGAATTCATAATTAATAATGAGTCATTTTGCCTTTATTTCTACTGGATAATAATTCATATTATTTACAACCTGTTTTCTGAGGAAATTATATAATAATAATTATATAATATAATTTAGTTTAAATAAATATAATAATAATAATTTCTAAATTACAAAATTTTATTTGGATTTTACAAATAATTCTAACAAAACAGAATCTACTAGAGCACTTTTCTTTATAAAAATACTTATCATATTACAATATTTTGCTGTCAAACATTTCATAAGCTAATTAATTATATTAATTTCTGTATTGTATTCAACTTGAAGCACATTAATATAAATAAATTGTTAAATATAGAATATTTTAGTTAATTGTCAATTAAAATTATACACTATAATAATAAACTAAATACAATTTAATCATTTTTGTAAATGATAAAATTTAAAAATGCTACAAGTGTGTGTTTAACTGTAAATTAACTAGGACAGTGTTTATTAGAATTAATAATAATCAAGTAGATAATTAATAATACCGTTACTCTTAAATATTTTAATTAAAAATGAAAATAAAACTCCTTAATAAATGGATAACAAGAATTATAGATTTTATGTATAAAGTTCATATTATAAACAATAAGCTAATTAATGTAAGAATATTAAATCAAACTCATAATAAGGAAATAGTTAGATCCAGAAATGTAAACGTATTGATAAAACTCGTATGTATTCATCGGAAACAAATCCAAACAATAGAAACCAATGTCCGGACCGGACAACTGCTCAATGAATGTCATAATCTTTAAACGATTAGAAATTGATATTTGTTTGCATTTTGTCAAATGTGTGTACAAAAGTGGTTGAAGTCGTTTGACAGCATTGGACAACATTGCACTCAACAAAGTCATTGCAATTACAGCTGAAAAACAAAATACAACAACAAGTACACAGAATATTCTCAATAATATAGTGCTGTCCCTATGATGTATGCCATATAGGGCTAACTCAAACCCCGGGGTCGCGAAGTAATACATAACAAATGTAAGGTACTTGAAGTGGTCATTAAGTTGCTTGATATGGGTTTCTAGTTCAGTCATGTCATAGATAACTTTCATCACTATATTTAGACTAAAATTGTAAAAATATATTGATTTCAGCGATGTTTGAAGTTCTGAATAAAGTTCAGTCAATTTGAATTGTGAATACAAACAAACACCTAGGTAAGTGGCAAATCCAATATATAACACGGCAAATGCCTGAATAATAAACACTTGCTGTACAATAGAACCTATGATCAAGCTAATTATTGGGATATTTGTACCCGGGTTCATATATAACATAATTGTTGCTAAAATCCATAGTAATGTTGTGATACAAATGGATGAAACTGTTAACTGATTCAACACGTGGTTAACGAAAAACTTAAAAATTTTCACATAACGTCTGGTATATTTTGGACTCAAAGGATATTTAAAGCTATTATATTGAACCTGGATTAGTATTTTTGGGAGTGTCAGTGTATGGCTCATGTCTTGATACAGGACTATAGATCCAATACATAGGATTGTAAACGAAAGTGTAGTTAATATTGAATTGAAGAGAATCGAGTTTCCCAATACAACTGTCCAGTCGTACAATAAGTCTCGTATCCATTGCTATTACAAATAAATTATTTTCTTAATTATGAAATTTATAAAAACAAATTATGTACTGTATACTTTATTAATGAATGCGATTAAAGCGAATCTGATGCAATTGAGCAAGCACATGAGCCGAATAAATATAGCTAGAGATATTCGCCATTTAGAATAAGGACGACCTGGTTGTTAAAACATTAATAACTTTTAGTTGTCTGGTTTGAAAATATAAGGTTTGAAGTGTTTGTGAAATAATACTATCCCTTACCTGACAAATATTCTTCAAAATCACGAAAAAGTGTCACTAAATACAAACCCATTTGATGATTGACCCTGGCTATACAGCATTTCAAATCGTTTAATATTTTATCATATGGATCCATATTGGGTTCGCTTTTAGTTAAATTAAATATTTTTGATTTTATTTTAAGTATATGCATTTTGAAAGTTATAACAAAATTGTCATAATTTTGTGACAATACAAGTGAACATTAATCCAGAGTACTAATAATTATTACACAGTATAAATACTTACTGATTAGTTTAAATAAGAGCCAAATATTTACAATACGGTAGAAATAAATTAATAACTTATGATGGTAAATATTAGAAAATGCTTTGTATTGACTTAAACAAATAAATGTTTAAAATACACATTACATGTGACATAAATTTACAGTATATATATCATAATAGTGTATATTCTTAGAATATAAATGAACAAAAAATTTAATTAAAATGTAAATTAACTTTATCAAAACTTTATATTTAAAATTAAATAAATATTTGTGCATAGAACTAATCACGAATTTTGTTATCACTATAACCTTGATGATGATCCTCCAACACAAGTGCCGCCCCCTTCTCCCCGGCCACCATTGCGGCCGCATTAGTATTGGCGTTAATAACCGTCGGATATACTGATGAGTCGATTACTCGCAAATTACGGACGCCTTTCACTCTCAACCTCTCGTCCACCACCACATCATCCCTGTCCACAGCACCCATACGACAGGTGCCCACTGGATGTAAAAAAGCTGTAGCTATTTGTTGTATTAAACATTTGTGGTACGACGAGCACTTCCACACCGGTATGTCTGGACAGTACTGACAGCCGGGTATTGGTTCGGGGTTTACGTACACGTGCTCTGAAATGGAGGTCTCCTCGACCACATAGAAGGCGTAGGAAATGGCGTCCAAAAATGCCTGCCTATCGTCCGGGTGTCTCAACAAGTTTTGCTGGATTATGGGGAATGTCATCGGGTCACGTGATTTTAGTCTAATATAACCCGTGCTTTTAGGGCTGAATAGTACCGGTGCCACTGCCAGGTTGGCATTCATTATAACGGTATCCATATATGGACGCCATTCCTCCGGACGTTTGGCCAAATAAAATATATTTTCATATCCCAGTCCATAAGCAGGAACAGTAGCAGCATGTAAATTAATGTCCGGGTAAGTCCAGTCCGAGTTTACACTGGAGTTAAAATGTAAACAAGATAACGGCGAGGTTGCGAGTGGCCCGGTATGGCTCACTATGGAGTCATATAATTGCTGGACATTAGGCTGAGGTCCGGGTAACAATAGACTACCGTTTCTAACAGGCATTGATATTATAAGTATTACGTGGTTTTGTAGGTTATCACCGACGGGTAGGTCAGACCAAATTGGCGATATTTCGAATTTTTCTAAATGATCCCGGTGCCCAATGCCTGACAGCATTAAAATGTGCGGAGAATTAAATGGACCTATATTTCACATAAATAATTTTAGTAATAATTTTTATATGATATTTATAAAACAATAACTGTACCTGCTGATAAAATAGTCTCTTTAGTTGCCTGAACACGATATTCTCGGTTCCCTTTTGTGAACTCCACTCCGACTGCTTTTGGTTATTCACCATTTGGCTGACCCTCAATAAGCACTTTAGTGACAAATGCCCTTGTTAATATATTGAGTTGAGGGCATATATTAGACTCCAAGTATGAGTTGGCAGTGGACTGTCTCAGTCCATCCCTAATAGTCGACTGCATAATACTCGTGCCGTACTGTGTCGGCCCATTCGCGTCAATTATAGGGTATCCCAACTCATGCAGTGATTGCTGCCATTTTAGTAGCAATGGCTCGGGATTTGGTGGTGTGGACACACCTAACGGTCCACTGCGGCCGTGATATATGGGATCGACATTAGGGTCGGTATTATTCTCAGATTTCTTGAAATACGGCAACAATTGTTCAAAACTCCAACCGTTGGCACCGAAATCACGAGCAATACTGTCGTAATACTTACGGTTCCCTCTGTTGTATATCATGTTATTAACGGTAGACCCGCCGCCCAATACCTTTCCCTTGAATTCAGAGGTCTGTCCGTTAATGAACGCCTGACCCAACTCTGGCTGCTTTTCGTTAGAATATATACAAAGATTTTTTGAATCTAAGAGCGAATGAAAGACTAGTCCCGGAGTGTCGGTGAGCACAGCGTCCTGAGCCCCACCCGCCTCCAGAAGTAAAACACTGTATCCCTCGTGTGACAGACGACAGGCCACTATAGCACCGGCACTACCGGTGCCCACAACCACAAAGTCATAACTATTATCCCACGTCTCACGTGAAGCCGTCCTGTCGTGTCTTATTTGTCGTGTAGTAATCCATGAGAGCATCAAGATCGTATATGTTAGGGTCGATACTTCAACCATTTTGCAGTACAGTAATAGTATTTTGAACAAGTCTAAAGTTAAAAGTTTATTCAGAAGTTGTAAATCTAATACAAAATATTACCATAATATGCTAAATAACATACTAAATTAAATTAAATATTATTTACACAATTCTAAGTATTTTTATAAACAATAGAATACTATTTTTAGAAAGTCTTCTAAGTATTCATATGAATTTATAATTAATAATGAGTTATTTGTACTGGATAATAATTCATATTATTTACAATCTGTTTTCTGAAGAAATTACATAATAATTTCTAAATAACAGAATTTTATTTGCTTTTTACAAATAATTCTAACAAAACAGAATTTACTAGAGTACAGATAATATATTATATTATATACAGTATATACCATAGTACAGTAGTCTATATTCTTAGAAAATAAATGAACAAAAAATTTAATTAAAATGTAAATCAACTTTATTAAAACTTTACTTTTAAAATTAAAAAAATATTTGTGCATAGAACTAATCACGAATTTTGTTATCACCATAACCTTGATGATGATCCTCCAACACAAGTGCCGCCCCCTTCTCCCCGGCCACCATTGCGGCCGCATTGGTATTGGCGTTAATAACCGTCGGATATACTGATGAGTCGATTACTCGTAGATTACGGACGCCTTTCACTCTCAACCTCTCGTCCACCACCACATCATCCCTGTCCACAGCACCCATACGACAGGTGC